AAAAACAGATAAATAAAGAAAAACAAACTCGCGCCAAAGACGGCACACAAAACGAACGAAAAGTGTTAGAACGGGATGGGAAGAGAAAAAAAAAATTTTAATGCCCAGAGAGCATGATTACCGTCATAATGGCATTTATAGCAACGATTCAGTAAATGCACACTTACAACGAACTAACGCGTTCAAAGCCGGCAAAGGAGGAAAAGGGTTTTTTTTACTCCGTTCTTTTGATTCGCATACATACACTCGTTTGTTCGTTCGTTTGCAAATATATTTTTTTCTTTTACTATTTTTTCGACTTCGGCACACCCTCTTTTGTCATTATTAATGGTATATCTATGTTAATGTTGAGCTATTTATTTTTTTTTTGAATGATATCCAGACAACACACGCACCGAACATTTTTCCTGTCTTATCCGTTTACTCTCGTTCGCCCTTCGAACGAGTTGTTTGCCTCGCTGCTGTTGTTGCTTCGCTCTCTTCACTATCGGTGGTGGATTTTCGTGCGTGCATCAATTCAACTTTTGGATCTAACGGAGATTATATCACATGTGACTGCACGTATCCCATTTTTCGGGCTTTCAACGTTTTTTTTTTTTTTTGGAGTATATGTACATTGTATTGGCAATATGACAAAAGGTACACGAGATTTTTCGTTTCCGAAAATATAGATGATGATTTTGCATGTACTTCAACCAAATAGAAGGAAAAACGTAAAGAAGAACGAGAAAAACGAATATATATTTTTTCTTCTTTCCATTCCACTTTTGTTTGCATTTCCATTTTGAAGAGATGCATGTGACATCGGTTTTGAATCACTTGTAGCAGCCAACTGAATAAAAAATGCCAAATTATACAAAAGCAGAGATAAATCCACAACGAAACATATCGAAATGAGATTGTACAGCAGAAGTATGCACATCTACATTGTACGTACAATGTACGAAAATTATGACTGCGTTCACCTTACCTTAACTCCACCGACAATCGCAATAAATTGCATAATAGAATAAAGAAAATGTATTTTAACACACAAACACACATACACAGATATGACATACAACACACAGTTCGATTCATTGAAACATTTCCAATGTTATATGATAAAATGTATCGAAACGATGAGATAGAAAATTAAAGAGCACATTGTTGTGGTAAACCACTTTCGTGAAGATTGACATCAATTCTATTCGAGTGTATCTTTCGATTGTTATACCAAATTACTGGCATTGTTCATTTGACTTTTGAAATCATTTGAGATTTTGAAAATATGAATTTGGTCCAATAAGTGCGTGGAGTTTGTATAAACTCAGTTTAACCTGTGACCATCAGTTTTGTTTCTCTAAAACACATTTTCATATTATTATTATTGTTTTGAATGCATAACTGTTGGTACTATTGATTGGAATTTACTATTTTCACCTGTTTATGGAATATTTCGTTTGAATTGTTTGTTTTGTGTTTTTGCTTATGTGTACCACTTTGGCAGATCATCATTTTTTTGCAAACAATTTATTGGCTCAGCGCTTTAAAAGACAAAAATTATTGTAATACAAGTGGCGAGCCTTTTGTGTGATATGTCTTATTCTTCTTGTAAACATATTTTGAAACACTTGGCAATTTTTAATATTTTTAACATGATGTCTGATGCAGATTGTCTGGTTGTTTTTCTACGCCACCGTAGATCTTGTGAAGGTGGATCCGACCTGACCTAAAATGTTCTGGAAGTTGAGCACTTGCGGTTTTCAACCCCGGAAATTCATTATTTTTCAAGTTTTTCCATTAAAAAAGCGAAAAAAATTGATCGGTAAATTTCATTATTTTTTTGTATTTTCATAAAAAAACATATGAGGAACGAAAAGTCCCAAAATTAAATTAAACTGGTCTCATCAAATATGAAATAACTAAAACTAACCGATTTTGATGGATTAAGGTCCAAACAACAATGTCACGAAAACACAGCCAAATATTGATAATAGTTTTGAAAATATTTAAGTTTGAAAAAAAATTGGTCGAAAAAGACCCCAACGTAGGTCTACAGTTAATAAAAAGATCGCCACAAAATTTCAAAAAATGATATATATAGAGAACATACATTTAACTTTATGACATCGAAGATTTTGGTTTCTATACTTTGAATGTTGCTAGCCCATTTCATATTTGAAGTGGCCTAGAATCGATTCATTTGTACAACAGCGATGTCATTCCGATTATCAGTCTTTAATCACAATTGCCAAATTATAAATTGTTTTTTTAGAGTGGATTTTTGTCTTCTTATCTTTCATTTCCACACTTACTTTTTACAGTCTTGAGTGGAGAATTGTAAACAATTTTTTTTGACCGATTACAAGTTCAGGTATACTATCAAAAACAAGCATGTTGAGTTAAAATTATTGTATTTAAAATCTTCCAACATTGTTCATTTTAGCTTAGTTTCATTTTTTACTTCGGAAGCCACAGTGCTTTCTACGAACGTCAAATAGTCTTATGATTTGAAAAATGATTATTTCAAGTTAAGTTGCAAAAATAAATTGAACAATTGAAGATACATTTCGGTTTGAGAGTGAATTGAAGTGCTGAGTTGCTCACATTTGAATTAATTTCCAATATAATTGATAACTCAACAATTAAAAAGAATAAAAATGGCGAAATATTTGTTTTTTGTTTTGGCTATCATCTCCATTTGGATGGTGACTATTACATATGCAAAAGAGATAAAGTGTCGGGAAGTCGGAGAAGATGTAAATATTTGATCTATTCTATATTCAGTTATTTGTGTTTAATTTTATTTTTATTCATTTAAATATCATGAATTTTATTTTTGGTATTTTCAGTGTACTTACAATCTACAATGCTGTTCAGAATTTTGTAATGGTGCAGGATTTTGCATCGACTACCCAATTAAATAATGTGACAAGCTTTGGGTGTGCTAGCCAAAGCAACCTCTCCTCTCAAAATGACTATGACGATCATATACTGGTTATAATTCCTTTCTCATAACATCGGCATCATTTTCTAATTTGTAACTTTTTTCCGAAATTTCAAAATATACTATTTGTATTTTATAAATAAAACATCTCACTTTGTACTATGCATGTAAAATAGTTGTCGTGTATTTAAAAAAAAAAGAAAACTTGTGTTCAATGAATGAGATAAGTAGAAAAAATAAGCGAGAGATAAAACATAAACATTATCGAATATATGAAAATTAAGAAAAATTTGGATCAGAAAAAGCGTTACAATGTATGTTATAAATATTTGCGGGTAATGCTTTATGAATATCTTTCTTCTTGAAATGTTCACAGAAAAGAACACGCAGTGCCCGTCTCGTTTGACCGGTGTACTTTCTTCCACAAGTTTAACAAGTGATTTGATAGATACCGCTATTCTCTTCAATTGTCGCAATTTCGAAAGTTCGATAACCTTGGAATAACCTTCCTTTTGCCAATTTCAGTGTATTTTGCACTAAAATGACACTTATAGGGAAAAAACTTAGTTAAATATGACATAAGCGATTAATTAAAAAGAAAGAGAGGTATTTATTTGAAACGATTACACTTTCAATTCACTTTTTGATTGTTACGTGCGCCTCGAAAGATGCTACATTGCGCGAGGGTTGTTCAATTATTAAAAAGATATAATCATGTTTGTATTGAAGTTACTTTTCTCTTCTGTATAACAATTTCAATTGAAAACCCCCCTCTTGAAACAAATTACAAATGTAAACCTAAGTTCAACGAATACACATACCTCTCGCTCTCTCTTTTAAATTTTGATGTAAAGTTCAAACAAAAATGATCAATTTGATAAACATATGCACCACAAATGCCACATAAAAATGAGCGCGTATGATTCCCTTTTCTCGAAACTAAATCTCATTTTCTATTTTCTCCCCTTAGAAAAAAAATGAACGAAAAAACACCATTGACAGGTAATTTATAGTAATGTCATGGGCCGCTAGTGCGGCACCTGGTTTGGTTCTGGAGACAAAATTCTTGTTTGTTTGCTGTTGTTCTATTCTATCGTTGAGATGTTTTGTCATTCGAAGAGTATTTGTCTTATTTGTGTGGCTTTGATGTCAATGCCAACAGCATCAACATTGCTTTGCATAATTGACTGGAATAACAAATTTATTTTTCTGTATGTAGGGAGAGAATGAATGTGCATATTTTTTTTTTAAAGAGCCTATCGACGATGTGTTGACGCTGTCTCATTTGTAATGGATTTAGTTGCTTCTGTCAGTCTAACCTGTGCTTTGAATAAATCTCTGTTCTTTCACGCGCATGAAATATATTGAAACTTTGGCTAATGGCCATGTACAGCAGATGTTGCTGTTATTGTTACTCGAATTGGGTTTGAACGTTGCGCTCACAACTTTCCATGCACTCTCAAATCTTCGAAGAGTCGTCGGATGAGGTTTCTTTATTTTTAAGCTGGACTTAAAACCATTGGCACTTGCCAATGATGTGCGATGCAAACGAGATTGAGAATTACTGAAACCCACTGAAATTGAGGCGAACAACGAGAGACGAACGAACATTGGAACGTTATTTTATAAAGCAACGACTAAGAGTAGGTATAGCAAGTGAACGCGCCAGCACAAAATCCAGACTAATCCACGCTAACAACAGTGACAACATCGACTGAATTGCAAGAGCACTCAGAAAAGATAGACTTTACTTGCCACGGTTTTCTATAATTCTCCAATGTCATTGTCACTCACCATGCCAATCGAACTCATTGATCCTACGAAATACACACACACACTCACAAGTGGTATTTTTCCGGTGTCGCGTTGACAATGAAGAGACCAGAATTAGAGGAAGAACCAAAAAAAACAATTGGAAAGGAACTATATTTTAATTTTCTCTGGACGAGAATCAGCAGTGCATTGAAGTGGTTGAATTTTTGGTGCAGCAGGGGAGCCGAAGAATCACAATCGAACAACAAAATCACATGAAAATTACAGTTACGGCTTGTATTTTCTATTTGTCTATTCATTAAATACAAGATTCACATCTGTTTCGCCCTTTTCTGCGTATGTGCGCGAGCGTTCACTCATTGTCTTGTCAAATGGGACCCGCTGTTTTCAAGGGATTTGTGAATAACAAGAGCCTCACCAAACTGAGGCCGAATTTTCCCGGCAAAGCCAAATGTGAATTTAATTGTGTATGTCACATACTATCTTCTGCAGCCGCCAAAAGAAATCTGTCGCGTCTGTTGAACTCATGCACTCTCCATACTAAACGATTTGAAAATTAAACGAATGACACACGCTCAGCATTTCACAAATTTTTTATACTTTTTTTTCGTCTTCAAGTCACTCGTCAACCGATTTCTCTCTCACTCTGTGTTTCCTTGTTTTCCGTATATATTCCCCAGGCGCACACAGAATTGTTGCCTCTTTTTCATAACGAATTGGACCCGGCAAACAAAACGAATGATGATTTTCCACACGTAATTTGATTGAACCATTCACAAAATCAATGCAAAAACTCTCAAGTGAATTTTTATTATGTGCACACACATAGCACTATATATATACGTACAACACCCGCAGCATAAACATATTTTTTTTCTTCTTTTATTCGGTGATTTTGCGAAACGATACGATTTTATATGAAGGGAGTAACAGTGTGTAAGGCGGGTAACAATGTTGTCGCATTATTTCAACATTCAAAAGTGGTGATTATTCAAAGTGTCTGTGCATGTGTGTTTGTGTGCGCTGCATAAGCAGATTGATTTGCACGACTATTGTGTGTAACTGAATTGGAAGTTCAAATAAAATATATACTGCATTTAGCAATGGCAACGATATGCAATCACAGCATTGCAGCAATCAATACGTATCAAATTACCTAATAATGAATCAAAAGCAAAATGCTCCCTTCGATCCAATTGAATCGTCAACAATATAAGATGTTTTTTTTTATATCAAACCAACACAAGAAATCAACACAGTTCATTGCCTCTTTGCATCGTTGGTTTGCAGAAGAACGATATTACAGTCATATTTGAATATTGGCTTGAATTATATCTTCTCTTTTTTTTCTTAGGTTTTCACCTTTTTCTTGTTCTCCTCATCAAATTGAATATTTCAACATCAATAATCAGAACTGCCTCATCGATTTTTAGATAACTTGAGATGGGTCATGACTAGTTTCATCAGTCTCTCATGATTTGTTTCCCTTTCGATTTAATGGAAAAGTCATTAGGACATTCGGTCGTAGCAACGAAATGTACAGAAGCGAAGAGAATTTAACAAAAACCGAAATATCAACTGAGGAGGCCAAAAATTAAAAGCAAAAAAAAAAAAAACGGATGTAAAATAAAAAAAAGGAGTCGCTCCCAGAAGAAGTGAAAAAAGGGTGGCCCAAGTGTGTTAGATCATTTGTCAAAAAAAGTGAATAGAAAAAAAACGAAGAGAAACACGAGACGTTGTACAGTGCAAACACAAAGTGGTTGGCCACGGTGGAGAGAGTATTAGTTTAAAAAAAAAACTGTGCGCACTCTTTAAAAGGGGTCAATGGTGTTTATTGTATGATATTTATTACGACCAGTACTCGTCAGTTGGCAAATTTTAATATTAACAAAATACATGACTAATGTTCATGTTCTTGTGTACGTTGTCCTCATTATTACCAACCGATACAATTATCAAAAATCCCTTTGTTCCGTTAAGGAAGTAATTTTTATGGTCATTAGCAATTTTGAGCAAGCGAATGAGTGTGTGTGTCTTTTTGTGAGAGCAATAAAGATGGTAGAACTTTCCATTTCTTTATCAATTTGTCATTTTCGGGCGACTCTTTTCTTTTATCTCATTTCTGATTTTTCATATCAAGCGACAGGACTTTGAATTTCGACCACATTTCTACCGTGCTCTGTACCGCGTGTTCCACATCACTGAATACACGCATTTCCGGTGTTGGGGAAACACAAGTCTTACGGCATACCATAAGTACCTTCACTTTGTTTTATTTTTTTAAGTTCGTTAATCACTTCGCGATCATTTATTCACAAAGAAAAAATAATTGAGTGTTTTAAATAAAGGGCCTCCATTCAATGTATAATGAGTTGCTGATTTCATTTTCTGGACTTTAACCAGAGGATTGAGCTACTTCGTACGAATGTCTTTACCATTTTTTGTTTCATATTTCACTCTGTGTATTCAGGAATTGGTTTCTTTCACTTGTATTGGCAATTTTGTGAATGCAAGTAAATTAATCACGAAATATATCTTCAATCTTCATATTGATGTATATTGAGCACGAAAACACAACCGCTATTATTCATTTATAAAATTGTACTTGAAGCGTTTGTTGAACAGAAAATATATCTGAATTTGACTCATTCTGAGAGCAATAAATGTGAGGTGCGCTTTGCGGAGCACTGAGAAGCAAAAACCATCTAAAATCATAATATTACTAATTTTAATTATTTTTTAAACTTTTGATATTTTGTTCCTCATTTCGGGCTCCTCAAAACGCTCCTCTTCACATATATTGCTCTGAGAAACAATCTCTGTGACTTAATCATTTAATCGTATGGAAATATGCTGATGTTTTAATTTGAACTACATTTTTTTGCTATTAGTCTACAGTCGAATGTCACCGACCATAAATTATTAAGAGAATGTAAAATGTGTTTCTGTTTAAATTACAACAGTCAAACTTCATCTCCGTCTCTCTCTTTCTCTTGAAATCCAGAAATTGTTGTTTTTAATTTGCCAATTACTTGAGATATCATTCTATATTTGATTTATTGGTTTACCTCAATTGTAGTGAATGGAATTGCATTGATTTTCGTATAGTTGGAAAATGCATGTTAATTATCTAATAGCGTATTAAATATTCTACAGATACCGGATTTCCAATGATGTCTGCATGCGGTTAGCCTGCAATTGGCCGTTGACAGTCCGTCGTCCATTTTGGCAATCAACATAATATATTAAGTAAATGTAAGATTGTTTTGTAATATTATATTGTTGTTTGTTTGTGTGCATTTTGCAAAAATTAGAGCAATTTATCCATTTTTGAATGAGTCCCTTGACCCATTGAAGAATGCCATTTGCAAATGAAAACGCCTGCCAATATGTTCTTATG